TGTTCATTACGTGTTACAGAAACTTAGAGATATAGGATTATATGCCAAGTTGCAAAAGAGTGTATTCCATACTATTCACATTGACTTTTTAAGGGACATCATTTCTAATGAAGGTCTTATGATGGATCCCAAGAAGGTCCAAAATATTATAGATTGGAAGATTTCAAAAATAATATAAGATGTGCAATGCTTTTTGGGCTTTGCTAATTACTACCAAATCTTCATCAAGAACTTTTTTCAAGTTACAAATCCACTTACATGTTTGACTTGTAAAGACAAATTTGAATGGAATAAAGAAGCAAAAGCATCATTTCATGCTTTAAAGAAGGAGTTTACTTCTACATTAATCTTGTATTGCATCAACTTCTATAAGTCATTTTTTATAAAAACAGATATGTTAGACTTTGCTATAGATGCCGTGATGTCACAAATGAGAATATTTTTTTTTGTGTCATAAGACTTAAAGGAAGTATTCTTGTGTTATAGGATTTGGAAGAAGTATCTATTTCTAAATGTTCTTATCTTGTACCAAAAGAAGGAAATGCATCTTTTAATCAACAAAGAGTGATTTTCTTGAAGTCCAAGTATTTTCATCTTCAAGCAACAAAATCAACATTAAATGTTGATTCAATCTTTCTCAAGCAAATTCAATCAAGTATGTCCTCTGATCTTCTTGTTCATGATATCAAGAATACTTCTTTTAAGTGCTATGACACTTCAAAGTTTCAATTTAAAAACAACCTACTATATTTCAAAGATCACTTATATATTTTAGAAGGCAAGGCACGATTACATCCTTCAAGCTCATCATGATTTTCTAGCAGCCTGATATTTTGGATACAACAAGACTTTGAAACTAATATCAATAGATTTTTGGTGGCCTCAAATGTAAAAAGTAGATAAAAGACTTTTTACAATCATGCAATACTTGCTCAAGATCCAAAACTCCTCGCCATCAACCTTATAGACTTCTTCAACCATTATCATTCCAGAACAACCATAGTCTTTTGTTATTATGGATTTTATCACGGATATTACAATCTCATGTTCATATGATTTTATATTTATAATTGTAGATTGCTTCATCAAAATGGTATATTTTGTACCATGTACAAAATCTATTTTAGGTGAAGAAATAGCCAAGCTTTTTATTGACAATATCTATTGCTATCATGGATTGCCAAAGGATATTATATCAGATAGGAAGACTCAACTTATATAAAGATTTTAGAGAACCCTGTTCAAGCTCTCTTTGGCTTTTCATTCTCAAACTGATGGGCAAATAGAATCGGTGAATCAAGTTTTAGAGCAATATTTGAGGTGTACCATCAACTATTATAAAAATGATTGGACAACTCTTCTGCCATATGCAGAGTTTATATACGATAATTCAATACATTCTTCTATTCAACAAATACCTTTCTTTGCTAATTATGGTTATCATCCACAACTTAATACTTTTAACTTTTCAAATGTTAATAATCCTAGAGCAAAAGATTTAACAAACCATTTTTCAGAGCTACATATAACAATAAAGATATAATTAAAAGAAGTTCAAGAACAACAAAAGACCAATGTAGTTGTGTATTACAAGGAGCAATGACAATTCAACGTAGGTGACAAGGTATGGTTACTTTGTCGCAATATCAAGACTACTCATCTTTGTGATAAGTTGGACTATCATAGGCTAGAATCTTTTCATATTTGTGAACAAATCAATCTTGTTGCTTATTGATTACATCTATTGGAGTCTATGAAGATCCACCTTATATTTCACATATCTCTTCTTGAGTCATATAGGAAAGTGAATATCTTAGAAAGAAGACAAATGCCACCTCCTACTATAGAAGTGAGTAATAATCAAGAGTTTAAGGTAGAAGAAGTCTTAGATTTAACGCGGTGCTGAAATAGATTGAAATATCTTGTTCATTAGCATGGATATGATATTAGTAAACGTACATGGGAACCAACAAAGAATCTTGCAAATGTAATAAAGAAGATTGAGGCCTTTTATCAATGACATCCATCAAAACTAAGATGAAGAATTGTAAAGATCCATGAAAGATGATGACGGCTCCTCGTAGAACTCGACTCTAGAAGGAGAGGTAATATCATGGATATATACATTTATCTCAATATTTACTTATATGATTAGGTAGAAGTAGGTAATTTTAGATTAATTTCATAAAGTCTTTTAAAGAAGCTTTATAGATGAGGTTTTGACTTTACATGTGTTTGTAGGTTAGAAACTTTGTCAACAAATTAACCACGTATTGGTAGCTTGTAGAACAAGTTAACTCCATGTTGAAGCTTATGGAACAAGCTAACTATGTGGCTCATACATAGATAACTTGCCTTGCAAGTTAAGACATGTGGCTAGCAAATTCAACACGTTTTGGAGGTCCTGTAGGACATTTCTACATAGCTCTTAGTTAAGAGTATATATGGAGGCAAAAGTGAAGCCTTTTTTACTTTTATTAATGCCTTTCTAGTCCTTAGTCTTATTTCAAGACTTTCTAGTCTTCTTCTTTTTGGCAATAGTCACTCTAGTTTAATATTATATCATCTTTGAGTGACTTTTGAGTTCTTTTCAATGATACAAGACTGTATTGAGGATTTTCTTTCTTTGAGTTTCATCTCCTTGACAGTATGTCATACATGATATACCATATGTTATATGCCAGATGGTCTTTAAGCATAATATGATAGTTGTTGCTATACCTAATATTATATTTAATATAGAATTTATATTCATATCTATATCTAGTATGATATTCAACTCATATAATATTAAAATCTTAACTATTCTAAATTTGCTCTAAATATTTTAAATATATTAAAAATGATGTTAAATTCATGCCTTTAAGATAACTTCTATATTGAGAATTTCTATTAGATTTCCTATACTAACTATATTTTCTCTATTAAGACTATTTTATCTATATCTAAAATCTTCTAAACTAATTGTCACCTAATAATTAAAATTTGGTATTTCAAATGCAATCTTTTATTCTTAAAACAATTAAAAATTAAATTTGATGATTCACAATTTGTCACAATCAAAGTCCAATGAAAAAACAGTATCCAACTAACACAACTACTACATCCAAAGTATGTACAAAACCAAATAAGGTTGTTATACAAACTTTCTTTATCATTGCCTTGACAACTAAGATGAATAACAACTACTCCATTGCAAATTAAATCTAGTACAACAATTGCCTAGAGTATTACAAACACTACTCAATAATACTATGTCTAACTTCAAGAACCAAAGAACAAGAAAGTATGCAACCACCACTATGACTCAGCTCATTAAGCTACTAGCTAAACAAAATAAAAATAAAAAACCGACAACAATGAGATCATGTTAAACTCTTAAATCTGAGAGAGAAGAAAAAATGAGAGCACTCTCTTATTAAGTTCCAAACTACTATTGATAGACCTTCTTTTGTAAAAATTAGAGATCCCTCTTTTCAATCGCAAAGCTGCATTGTCTTGTCCAAGTATCAAAAATCTATTATGCTTATTAGGACTCCAAATTCAATTAAAACTTACACAAAATTTATTTGAACCCTTATAAATTGCAGCTCAAAAATCAAAAATATGCTTAATAAGATACTATTAATTCTTTTTAATGGTTGTCATATATTGCAAATACTTAATTACTAATTACTTACAATTATAGTTTATAACATAAAAAAATAGAATAATCACCATTTTGCATCACTAACAAGTTAATAAAACAATTGGATTTGTAAGCAAGTTATGATTAATAATGTGAAACTTCAAAAATGACTTAGAAAAAAGAGAAAATATTATAATTCTTTCTAATACTAAAAATAAGAAAAAGTAGTAAGAAGATTTTTTTTTTTTTTTTTTTTTTTAAATGTTTCTCATCAAACCAAAAATACTATAAGCTCTTAAAATTTGTCATAAAAAACAATAAGTACACAATATTAGAAAAAATTAAACTAAAAAAGAAAATTAAATAAATAAAATCAATAATATATATAGTATTGTACATTGCTTGAGCTCATTTGATATCTACAAGCCAAAGAAAGCATAATATTGGAAAATTTTAAGCCAAAGGGTACACAACTCTGTACCAAACTCAAATTAAATTTTGTATTAGAATTCCATTAGAATTCCACAACTTAAGCATCATTCTGCAATGACAACTATTAGAAAGAATTAATAGTATCTTTCCAGAAGTTTTGTATAGACAGTATCTTTTTAGAAGTTAGTAGTATCTTTTGTATGTTAACAGTATCTTTGTAGAAGTTAATAATATCTTATGTGTGTTAAAAATATCTTTCTAGAAGTTGGTAGAAGTGTTAAATATGCAAATTTTGATTTTTGATAGATAAAACATTGAATTAACTTTTCTTTTTGCTTTATTTTTGATAAAAATGATGAGGCATGCAACCAATCAAAGAATGTTTTTATCTCTTTCAATTTGTCTCCTAAGTTGTCTTATATAATATTCATATACATATTTAAGATTGTAGAAAGAATATAACTACATAGATGGTGATATTTTTTGGATATAAAATGATTACACCATTGTATTAATTAGTTCTAATCTAAATTATTAAAAAAACTAGTAAGAACCTTTAAATATTTTTTATTAGATTATATATATATGTGTAATATTATAAGAATTTTCATGCAATTTCACGTCATTGATCATCTTTTAGAAATTACAATCTTAATCTATTTATTGCTAAAATAAAAAAAAAAATTGATCATGCATAATTTTAGAATAGTAAATAAATTGATTGCAAATATTTTAATCTCATGCACTTCTCTAAAAAATATAATTGCATCTTTATAAAATATAATTTTCTACAATCTCACTACATGTCAATAAGTAAATAAATAAATAAATAAAATCAAGAATTGAATTTTAGTACCAAATATTTACCAAGTAACTTCGACTTTCTCCATCCTAATTATCATTTTATGTGCAACCATCGGACTTCAATTTCAAAACATAGTTCGATGGAAGTACCAATTTATGCACTTTAAACAACTTGAGGTATTGCCTTTACATCTACTTAAGGTATTGACGAATCATCAATTCGAATCTTCGGTTGCCTCAAGCATGACCACATATGAACAAAGGTTCTCCACATCCCACATAATGCTATTACCAATTCGCTGACCCAAATTATGTAACGTCCAAATTGGAAGGGACAGGACAAGAAGCCCATTTGATGATTGTAACCAAAGACTCTAATCTAAATAAAAACTGGATCTCCAAAAACCACCTTTTCTGCAGTATCTTAAACAGTAACCTTCTAATGAGGACGAAACTTCAACTCCAAGAGCAGCCTTGCATGACGATGCTGTATGCCTCCTTGAATCTTCAATATTGGGCATAGTGTGCAGGGAATCGACAATCCGTCGATTGCAAGCTGTAGTTGTGGCCAGGTGGACGAAGAGACCAAAATGGTTACTTCTACCTTGAAATCTATTACATTAGTGATGAGGACCATAATCCCCAGTACCTAATCTGACCAGATCCAACCTGATCTGGACTAGACTAACAGAGCAATATCTTAGCTTCTCCGAATTGATCAAAAAGCTTTATCCTAGAGGTATCCAATACCGATACTTCCCACTGCCCATCGAAAACTAAGGGCAGGAAGTATAACACACAAGCTAAGTACTGGAGTGGGAAGTAATGCTTTAAAAGGAAGCCACAAATATAAATCCAGACGAGTATCAAATTCTGTACATGAAACTATCATTACATAGTATTATTCGCTACCTCCTAGTTGCGCGTCATTAATCAGAAGAACGTCAGCCCCAACAGTCCTCCAGGGGTGTCGCGTGGTCAAGAGAGTTCAAAACCTGTGTTTGATTTTATAGCATACCGCAACTTTTCCCTCAAGGTGCTTGCTCTCTTGTACGTAGGAAGCTGGACGCAAGTACCGAAGTGAAGATTATTAAGCGATTAAAGAGAATGCAATCTTCATAATATTAGGAATTAGGAAAGTTCAGAGGCGTTGCTGTACTTCAGACATTAATGCAATTTCCTAAATTATTCAGTACCTCAGGAAATGTGGAAAGTCTGGAGAAATTCATTCATTGCATAGGATCTGAAAAGAAGTGATACCACTCTGAACCTAAATAGAAACTCAAACCATACCTTCAACGTGTTGTAACAAGTAGAAGCAGATGGCAAACGATCCACATCTTGACCACCAATAACAGCCCACACTGATGCCTCGCACGCTACCTAAAAATGTTGAGTTAGTTCAGTGAGAGGAGAATTGTACAAAACGTAGAAATAACTTTCCTAGATGATATCTTGAAATTGTAAGCATGACCAACTCCATAACATGTGAATTCGTCAGTCAATAAAAATAGTGATTATCACAAGAATGAAGTAAAATTTAAAAAGTACCTTTTTCAAATATAATAATTAAGAGTCTTCAAGGGACACAACAATCCTGAAACTAAAACAACGAGGCCGCTAGAGAGGTCGGCAAATATGGTAATATGAGATTCAGGGAGTTTTACCTTGTGTATGGTGAAGGCAGGTTGCAGATGTTTAAAACCAAGAAGAGGTGCTCTAGAACAGCTGGTTACAAACTTTAAAAGTGCACATCTTTCTTCTCCTTCAAGACCTCTAACCACCTGCGCAATGCAAATACAGTCTTCTTACAAGTCACTAACAGTAACTAATGCCAAAGTCCCTTCACTTAAGTGGATATATGAAATAAAAAATAACAGTAATAATTTTAAGGTTGAAAGTTTAAAAAGACAAAAAAGAAAAAGAAGAAGAAGAGAGAATTTGCCATGACTCAGAAAATCGAAACGAAAGGTGTGATTAATTACGCACCTCCCAGAACATTTTAATTGTTCGACTAGACTCAGTGTAGCCACCAGTATAACGAGTATGCACACGTAAGTCATCCACATCAAAATCGTGGTCGCCACCTGACAGCAGCTATGCTAGCCCCCACGGTACAAACCACAGGCGTCAGCAACGACACTAAGGAAAGCCTTCAAATCCATGCAAGCAAAGTGGGTCATTTGAGGTTCAAAATCAGTTGCAAAAACTTGCTTCTCTTCACTCAGGTCAAAAGGACAGTACAAAAATGTTCTGTAACTCAAGAATTTGCAATTTAACTTCATAGCCATTTTCAACTTCTGCAGCTAATAATCCCACTATCTATGGTGAAGACTCAAGTTTACAAATCAAGAAGCACATAAAGAATCAGATAATCTCACCTGATTAAATTCCTTGGCGTTGAAAAGACGAAGCCATTGAGGATCGATCAAGTCTGCCATGCCTCTCGCAAATGCGGTTATTAACGGTCTCATCTGCAATAATGAAACGATTACTTACAGTACCACTCAATGCAAATAGTCTAAAAAATCATGTACTGAAGACAACAGTCTAAACTGACAGAATTAGAGTGCCAGATCTAATTACGGAAACTAAGAATTGGATCGAACCAAGTGGAAACACATGGTTCAACTTACCTGCTGGTTAAGTTTGTAGTCAGCCATAGCATGAACATACTGCAGTTTGTTTTCGTTTGTTACAGGGATGTCTGCACCACCAGGTCGCAACTCCACAGTAGAATGCTTCCCAAATAACTCTTCTGTTACAGTAAAATCCAATGCTAGGTCCCGAGCATCTCCTTCATAGTGCTGTAATCACGTGAGTTGAAAGGTGAGAAAGTAGTCAAATAAAAACAGAACTTAAATCTCCTAGTAAACAGAAAATTGGAACTTATAAATTGCTTTATAGTGCATCAAATTCCACTAAATGAGCTGAAAGCTATTTAACATAATGATTCAGTTCAGAAAGAACTCACAGCACATCTATAACAACGGGGTTGTTTGGACGAATTCTAACTACCCAGGCCAGATATCCCATTTATTTAATAGAGGATCGAGGAACTGAACGAAAGGTAAACATGCTCAGGCTCCAGTAGATGCTGATTTAGCATGTTAACAAAAAAAACCTCTACATCATGGAGTATGAAAACGGAGGGATACCTTGAGATAGACAAGATTGCGGTGAAGCTCTGCATCTAAACTCGAAAGCTCATCAAGAAAGCTATATCGGCCCAAAATCTTTGAAACAAAGAGTGGGGAGAAGGAATATTCTAACAAAATTCCTTCATACAATGCTTTCCCAACAATGCGTCCTAGAAACTCTAGCATTCGTAGTCCATGACCGAGACTCGCAGCAGCAGCGTGAGGAAAAAGCAAGCCCTCCTCTGTCGCTGTTTGAACAAAAAGACCATATCTGCATACAGCAATATAATCAGCTGACAAATTCGTGCCTGCTCTCCAAAATGTAGTTCAGGTCAGCAACCCACTGCACTTTCAAATAAATCTGTTCAAAAAGAGTGTTAATACATAAGAAGATCGCCTGAAGTCAAACAGTTACCCTGGATCAAAAGCTGCCTTGGCGAGGTCAGTAAGAAACTCTTTAAACAATCCACCATAGTCAAGACCTGCCTCTGCAAGTCCAAGCTCGTTCACAAAAGAAACATTTATACAGCACTTCAGCTTAGGGCCCAGCGCGTTCAGTTGAGAAAACCCATCCTCAACAATATGGTCCCGTCGCACAGCTATCTCGGTAGTTCCTGGTCCTGGACCTACGGCCTCCCCTCCCATCCTCTTCAGCAGCTTGTCGCTTCGAACAAACTCACGGAAAATCTGTACCCTGAACCCAAAAAGAAAGAATACTGTATCAACAAAAACCTTGCTTAAACAATCCAATTATATATATTTCAACAACTTACTGAATGTGCGTACACTCGGGACTCATTTGGAGTTTATAACGGCATAAATTGTGATTATAAAAGAGGATTACCGTTCTTCAAATGGAAGAACATGAGGAATCGTTGTCAGGATAGCCCCCAATGCTGGGGCCTGGGATGAGTCACCGCCGTTCTTCTCAAGCGCAACAGCAACCTCATGTGCTCTTGCTGCAGCAGCAGTAGGAGGTCTTGTAGCGACGGCTGGAGCAAGCCAAAGGTTTGGAGGACAGAAGCTGCGCCGGCAGTCCCTTTCATACAAAGACCTCAAACATTTGATTGCGACATCCATAAGCAGAGAATTCCTTCGCTTAAAAGTTGACAAAAACCCATAGTATACCATAGTGTTGAGCATGGCTGAAATAACCCTTTGTTGCTCTAGTGTGAAAGGTTCCTGCACATTTAAACAAGAAAGACATGAAAACAAACCCAAATGATGTGAGCTGTTACTTCCAATAAGTACAATCTCAAAAATGGGAGCAGATGCGGTCTATTTCAACAGAAAGAAACTACACACAATATTAAAACAGAACAGCCGTTACTACCGAAATGCACACGCTCAACAATCCACTACCTGATGCTCATAAAACTCTTCATCATCCAAAACAACGAGCAGGTGAGAATACGCTGCACAAAACAACAGCAGCACAGGTAGCACATTCTCGGGCACCCCTTCTGGACCCTTCTTTACAATATCCATTTCCGTGATTCGAGGTGCAAAATTATCTTCTGACTCCATACCTCTGCAAACGAAATGTAGCTATGTTAATCTACAGTGTCATACACCTGTTGTCAATTTTAATGCAAGAACATCGAATTCAACAGGGTCGTAATGGGTTAGTAAAAGGCCAAACCCTGCAGCCCTTCACTAGAAACTCACACTAACGTTTGAACAGTCCTCAACCCTCCATGATTCCCACCAAACCAATCCACCCAATACTCTGAAAAGAGTTAATTACATCATCAGTGCCAAACAAAGTAGTGCTAGAGAGCTGAAATCCAGCCACGGGATTGCAACAGATGATACCTAAGTCTTGCGAACATTTACCTAATTTCTTCCAAAATATCAAGAGGCCTACTTGATTCACCAACCCTGTTTGCCCAATTCGACATCCTCCTTAAATTTCCTCGACTTCCATCAGCTGATCGTCGAGCAGGTTCCAAATCAACGCCGACGTTCCCCCTATTAGATCCAATGTCAACTGATCTGCTTGCTTCTGTACGCCCATGTACAGCCCTTCTTGCTAGACTAGGGCCTTGCATTGACGTAACATGAGGTGACTCCAAAGGTATGCTCGTCTCAGAACGATCACTGATAAAAGTAGAACCCCAAGAACCAGTACCTCTCGACGTAGACCCTAGTTGGTCAGCTGACATTCTTGCAGCCATTGAAAGTGGTCGCTCAACAGGAGAGCGCTGTGGGGTGGACCTCACTCGATCGACTGACATTCTTGGTGGTACAATAGTCGACCGTTCAGGTGTTTGCGTAGACGAAACTCCTTCAAGAGACATTCTTCCAGGGATAAGTTCCTGCCTTCCAATGGTCCTACCTGTAGGGTTGTTGCCTCCAGTAAGGACATTATTATCACCAGCGAAACATGTTGAGCTTGACCGATTTCTCAATCCTAAAGCAGCAGCCCAACGACTGCCTGTGCTCCTCCTCCTCGGAATAAATGCTTCCTTCTCTGCTTTGATAGGTTGAGTTTCCAAATTTTGTTCATTATTAAAATCTCCGTGAAGATTTAAGTTTAACAGATGAGCCAAGCCTGGTGAGGTTTGAAGCCAGTCCCAAAGTTGAGGAAGTAATCCAGGAGTGAAGGCAAGTAGGTTAAGAATTGGTAGAGCCCCTCCGAAGGGGTTCAGAACTGCAAAAGCTGGCAACAAACTGGAATATAGTTTCGCTACGTCCGATAGACTGAAGAGCTTTCCCGTAACACCCTTCAGTGATCGTTGCGCAGTAGCTATAAACATCATAGGTGCGGAATCATTCAAAGCAGCTTCGTTCATGACTTGAAGAAGATGCCATTGCTGATGCAGAGGTCTGAGACTTTCCACAAGCAACTGGAAGATGATTGTCTCACGAGCTTTCGAGGTCTCGTTCCTGAGGAAGGCATTGGGGTGGATTAAAAACGCATCATGTGTTCCATTAACAGAAGAGACATAACTTATTTAAATACGAAGTGCTACACGAGACTTTCTTGAATATAAGTATCAGACATTCACACTTTCTTGAACCACTTCTTATAGATAGATCTCAAATTCAGAAAAATTCAGCGATGTGCGAACGGATGCACGTTCATCAAACCAAGAACATTATTCACTATAATATGCATTGCTCCGTACAGCTGCAGAAGCTACTTACCCAACCCCAACAGCTTTGGTATCCTCATCATCTCTGTCGTCTGCATCCTCCGCGGCATTCTTCTCAGCTTTCCTACGCTTTCTTGTAGTTTCGATCCATGGATTCAAGTCCTCTAAAAGGTAACATAGAGCTTGAACATAATCTTGACATACTAAACCATTCACGAACTGAAGACTGTCTTTCACGGTATGAGAAGCAAGGCATACTATATTGGATAAAGCCCATGCTGAAAGTGGCACACCCGCTAACTTGGAATCAACTTTTCCTTGAAATGATGGTAGACAAGGTAAAGCGGACGTAGCTGTTGCTATTCGGAGCAGATTTCTTATAGGCACCTGTATATTGAGAAAATACGCAAGGTCAGTGAAGCCATCTAGAATGCACCTACAAATGGCATTTAATGAGGGATTCACACGAGGAATCAGAACAGTCGGTTATGAACTTGCCAGATACAAGGAATGCCTAACCATACCATAAGATTGAATAGTCTCATATTTAATAACCGCAAGACCTAGTTAGTTACCGTGACTGACTAAAACAGGCGAATCAATATCAGCGTATCATGACCATCGAAGCAATTAGGAACCAATGGCTAAAATCTGTCTTTAGGATTATTGAATATACAAGAAATTCATGCATGTTCTATTCCCTCGAATCCAAGTCACGAAACTATAGTTTTTGAAAAAACAATGACAAACGTCGCACAACGAAATACACACCCCAAAAGACCGCAGGCATGGAAAAAGAGCTGTAGGGTGTTGCAAAGCTGGCAATAGCGGCTGCGGTAAACGTTGTGGTAGAAAAGGAATGGTGAGAATGTGCGCAGAAAATTGTGCTGCTGCTCTGTTTGCTGCAGACGTGTAGTCCTTCCGATCATTCGGATTCTCATCATTCTGTCCGTCTTTATCACACTCAGCAGATAGTACGAGCAGGGGTCTCAATGTAACTGTGATTATGCTTGCCGTGATTATAAACTTGTCTTTCTTCCCGCGGGGACGAACAAGTTGATCTTTAATGCCAGGAACTGGGAAATTTGCCAGTATATATGACCGAACAGCCAAGAATAGACCAGCGCTTCCACTTGCAAGCCACTCTAGCAGCCTCAGCACAACAAGCTCTGCCTTCCGTTTCCTGACCTCCTGCCCTGGCTCACCAAAGCACTTCCATGTACTACTATCCGTTAATGAAACCATCACTCGCATTGCTAATCCTGCTAAATTAGAACCTTCTTGTGCCATGTGATTTCTGTCCGTTCCTTTCTGGTCTGCTTCACGAACCCCATAACTCTCATTTTCTAAGGCAGCACAAGCAAGTCTGAGAAGTTGTCGTGCCTGATGCATCCATTTCGACATTTTATCCGGAAACCCAACCGATAGATCGCAGTAATTATATCGTACATCTGAAAACACATGATTTCCACGACAAGTAGAAATTAGCCAATCGTATTCATAATTATACATAACAAAATTGTCCTTCGTCTGAACTCGTAACGTGCACGTATGCATGATTTGGTAAGGTACATACTTAAAAAGAACAACGAGCGCGCACCTGGGTTTTGGATGCTCTGTAAGAGTAGCCGAAAACAAGTTGAGAGTCGGCCAGCATCTTCAGAGCTCTCTCGAATCTGATGAAGACTGAAACAACTTGAATGTCGTAAAATCATAAAGAGGGGACGCAGCATTTCATTTGAGATTGCGTCAGCAGAAATTGGAGATTGATTTTCAACACGTCGTGATAAGAATTGCTCATCCCAGTCTGCGCGAGCTTGAGCAGCAGCTTTTCGTGCGACGGTGCGACCCCTCCATATTCTCTGCGATCAGGAAAAAATGACCTTAGTGCCTACAAAGGAACCGCATCATTCAATAGAGGATGCGGACTTTCCAACCAACCGTACCTGAATAACCAAAGCCGATGCACCAGCCTGTTTGGCTAGAGAACGAATTGCTCTCTCTTGTGCCACTCGATCCAGCAACTCATCTCGAGTTTGCTCCTTTGCGCTGGCGCCTCGAAGAGACACCTGATTCAATAGTAAATAAGCATAAAAATATCAGAACAGCCTTCAGCTGATACAATCCTATCATCCCTCAGTGAATCCCAAATGCCTCCAACATGAAGCTCTTCATTATTAAGGTATCATGATATGTTCAAAGATGATACTGCAACCAAGAGCTGAAGAACCAAGTCCACAAGAATGGCGTGTCTCAACTAAAGGAGAAGCAATTAAGGAAAATAAAGAAATATTTTGATTTTCGAAGTGATCACAACTAACAAGAACCAATTTCTTCGTACAGTTCGTGCAAGAGCAATTCTTCTATGGACCATATAGATTGACTCAAAAACAGGCGATGTAGCTAGACCTAATAGGCAGAAAAAAGATGATTCGAGAAGTTTCCGGGGCATGAGGACGTGACAGGAGGAAGTAATTCCATTGCGAAACAGGACATGTTCAAAATAAACTAAAGCCATTTGTAGACACCTTAATTAATAAATGGTTATGAGATGGTGCGAGGATTATATCCATCGATCCTAGACAAGAGTCACATCTCACGACGTTGGCTAAAAATTCCATTAAATCGAAGAGAAGAAGACATGTACAACGCTGCGGATGTACTGCAACTCTCATCAGTAATTCAACTTGTCCCAGCAGCAAGACTAAATCAAGATTACCATTTGACAGAAAATTGTGCAAGTCGGATATCCTCATTACTACTGCAGTGACGAAGAACATGCGGAAACATGTATTCATTTTACGATCGAATGGAATTTCAGTCCCTTCAAACTACAGTAATCGTTAAAACTCATCATACGTAACATTATGGCTTAAAAACTACTGTCAACCCTTCCAAATTTCACTGCAACAACTTGGCAAAAACCTACTGTACAGAATATTGAATTCACATCAACATTTTCCAGGTGCAATATTAAGGAGGGCACGGAAAAAGACATTCACCTGGCGCCCTCTTGAAACATGCTGCATCGTTCCTTTAATCATATCCTCGTTTTCAAGCCCTTCATGACCGCATACAAACTCAAAGCGAACGAATTCCAAGGTGTCTTGGCAACCAGCCACTTCAATCACCGTAGAACAAAGAGGAGCCACGGATGCTTGTTGCTGAAGGGCCAGAGCTTAAAGCAAACAAAGAAATCGGAGATTCAAGCTGAAGGCACCGTGGACCACGGAACAGTTTATCGCAGTCACTCCACATCTAAAACCCCTGCTAGATGCAAAATAGAAGGCAAAAGCTGTCTCTTCCGCAAGCATCAACGGAATCCAACAGCAAACTTCACAACAGAAGCTCCCCTTCACATTCAACGAAAAAGGGCAACGTAACCACTGCGAACCAGCTGTCCGGCATAAACATTGAACTCCTCGCTTCGTCAATGCTCAGTGATCATATTAAATCCTCAACGCAACTCTTCTCCACTGATAATTCAATTTAACAGCACGTCGTATGCTCCCACGACACAACAGCGCTTCGCTAAATAAGCAAGCGCAACCCCTGATAACCACTCGAATAACCGCACAAACTTCTACCCAAACCACACCCGCCTTGGGAATCAGCTATCACAACAATGATACTAGGCTTCAGAAAAGAATTCCGCTACTACACCCCGCCCAATCGCCCGCACGCAGATGCAATGACAACAACGACACAGAGCAACAGAGAGATCGCACTGTCAAATTTTTGTGAATCAATTGGTGACCGGAAGTCACAAGGAAAGCCGCCTCCGAACTCCTAACTCCAGCACAGACAGACAGACACGCTTCCACTCAATCCGCGCAATCCGACACTGGAAGAGCACTACTGCGGCGACTCTGCAGAAAAAAATGAATAAACGCTCCTGTCGATCATAAAAAAAACTGAGAACCCGAATCCTGGCAACAAAATCCTGTCCCTGCCCTGGTTGTGGCGACACGGACGTCTCAATGTGTTCACGGAGAGCGAGAAGCCACCATATTCCACAACAGCAACAACCGAAAGGGATACGAAGGTAGAAATACCGTCATACACCAGAGACAACCAGATGCGTGCAACCAAGATGACACTCGTCTATTACGCTTGGCGAAAAAAAAAACAAAAAACAAAACAAAACAAAAAGCACAACAACGAAAAGAGAGAGATCGCGGCAAGGCGAGGATCAAGGTGTAAGTTAGGCGCGTCCGTCTACCGCGAGAGAAGGACGGAGCTGACGTTTGTTTTAATGCATGCTCCGTTAAATGCTCTTTCCCCGTCGACGAGAAATTGACGGCTCCAATCCGACGGCGGACTTGGGCTCCGACGGGGACGGGCGCGGCTCATCGCACGGTGACCGGTGGCCGGCGGGTAAGGGGTCCCTATCTACGGTCGGCATGAGGACTTCGAAATTTTGTACCAAGGGGCAAGATTGATTGATCCCTATGAATTAACAAAATACATTTCATTGCACATCAACTTGTTTTGTTGTTATTTTCCACTTAGGATTTTGGCCAAAAAGCTAGATTGATTGCTTTAAGTGCAATGAAGTATAAAACAGAGTAATATCAATCTTAATTTATTATTATTAACAGATTACCTTTCTACTTCAGTTAAAATTCTTTCATGAAAATGAGCATCAACATCTTGTGACACTTATGCATGTTGTTCTTCAATTAATAACAGTTTTTAAAAATATGTGTTGATTGTTGTGCTTGTGCAATCAACACCACATGCACATGTTATATAAAAAATAGAAAAATAAGAGGAAATAGTATAACAACTGATCTAACAATCTAGTACTGAAACTGTGGACTTTGAAATTGAGTTTGTACCAAGGAGTGACAAAGTAATTCATTCCTCAAGCACCAAGGACAGTCCATTTCATAGTTTATCCCTTTGCTCATGAGGGATCGAAGGGATAATCTACGGATGTCATGGCTACTGGCTGTCACTTGCTCCACTATGTTTTGTGTGATGTTCTGGCTAAAAGCAAACAAAAGGAAAAAAACTGCTTTTTTTGAGCAAATAGAGTACTAAATTGATATTTTCGTGGGTGGTATTGCAGCAGGGGACCTGAAAGCACTTTGTATTTCCCTCATCCCAAAGTCAAACCTGGCAACCTAATATACTCCTTGAAGATTAGACCCCCACATGACAGCATCAAATGACAAGATGAGCAGTGTGACAAAGCAACCCCCTCTAACAAACAACACTACTGCAAAGGACCAACAGTAGCTCCTCATGGCAGCCAAAAACACATAGTTTGATTTAAATCCAATTCTGAGACCTCTAACTAAATGCTGAAAAGGGAATCTAGCTCAGGAGGGGAAGCTAAAAGGTCAGAAACTGCAACTTGTGCATTAGATGAATTTCCATTGCACAAAATTAATGTGATGCAGGCTTGTTTGGTGTTACTGGGGGCCACAAATCATGTTCTAAACCCTTCTTTGGTGTTAACTGGGGGCCACAAATCATGTTCTAAACCCTTCTTTGGTGTTAACTGGGGGCCACAATACTTAATTAGGGGGGTGGGAACATGATGCTGTTGTTTATTGGGGGGCTCATATCATGTTCTAAACCCTTCATTGGTGTTGACTGGGGGCCACAAAACTTAAATGACACAAAAAACTGATTCAGATATTTACTGGGGGCATCACAACAAGTTGTGATTCTATGTTTAGAATTACTGAGGGCCACATGGCTCAGCCTTCAATGTTGACTGTGATTGGCTATCATGTCTACACTGCAAAGCCATAGCCCTTTTGCAAAACATGGCCATCAGCCTGTGCTAATTTCAAGTGAAACTTTTGGCAATCCCATCCACCCCAAGCTTTTCCATGTCAAACAGTTAACACAGAAAGAGAACAACAGATAAAAATAAAAATAAACGATACCAACCAACTGCACTCACCCAGCAATATTGATTTTTGATGATTCTATGCTTTTTGCACTATCACAGCTGGAAAATTACCTCTGACAGAAGCCACATCAGTAGCCAGCAATTCTGCAAAAGTACAAAAAGCACCACCCAAAATGTAGGATCCAGTCTTTATCTGAGCTTCCTTGTTTGCGCTTTAATATCACTCCTCACACCCAACTCTCAGATCATGGCATGAAAGATAAAACCATAAAGTGCACAATTCATATTCTGGCATCTGCAAGCAACTCCCACCCAGTTAATGGAAAAGTGCACAGCCATCTGAGGACAAGTACTAAAAGGACTTGACACAAACACTTGTCTTTGCTCTTCCACTTTATCCCTATTCCCCAACCTCCCAAATTGGACCAAGCCCTAAAACTGCACCACACCTCTTCCCAGCTACATTGATGAAGCAATTAGGGTTTTGAAGGTTATCATATGGCAGGAGATGGTGGTGGTGGTGGTGGTGTATGTTTATTGTTTGTATGGAGTTCTGAAGTTGCTTGCAGAAAGCTGCAAATGTGCTATGTGAGTTTTGACAGTGGTGTGGGAGCTTGTGAACCACCTGGTTGTAAAGCCTGTCCATCTACCTGCTTGTCTGCCCTGAGCCATTACTTAGCACCCCATCTGGTTGCTTTAGAGCTCTCTAAGTACAGTCTTCACTTTCCAGTGTAGTTGAAAGCAAAGCTGATTCTATTTAACCCTAATTTAAGGAACAACAATGTAAGATTTCCTAATTTAATCTGTCTGCAGTTCACAAAGTGTGATGTAATTACTTAGATGTGCAGTAATTACTCATTGATTTCAACTTTTGATTTCTTTCTATTTGTAGTGTAACCCTGAAAACAATCTCCTGTCATTGTATTGGACCATGATACACAGTATACCACGGGGATATAATGTTTGATGTTATCTTTTAGACTTCATTTGCCTTGCCTTTGACAATATTTCAACTTGGAAAATTAAAATAATATTTGCTATACAATACTAGAAATTGAGGATCTTGCTTTGCTTTGGGAGTGATATGCTAAACATTTTATTGATATATAATAATGAGCATTATAATAATAAGTCACAATGCAAACAATGTAACCAATTATCACACAAATAAGTTCAAAGATCAAAAATAAAAATTTACATTAATAAAAAAATGAGTAAATAAAAACATGTGCACCTACTCAAATGTAACAAAAAATAAATATGAAGTGCAACTATATGAATCCAATCATCTTGGGTTGTGTGTATATAGTATTTTTGAAAGTATAAAACGTTAGTTTTTATTTTCATTTATTGAAAAATATTATGCTAAACTACAATTAAAAATGATATTTTTTATTTTTAATATTTTTAACAAATAAAAATGAAACATAACCATTTAATTACATTTTTTTGACTTTACTATCACATTTAATTTGAGATACTATAAGACAAAAAATAACTACTTGTATTTCATTGATAATACACACAAACTCTCTCTCTCTCACACACACACACACACATATATATATATATATATATATACACACACACACACACATATATATATATATATATATATATATACAAACATATATATATATATATATATATATATATATACACACACACATATATATATATATATATATATATGCACACACATACATAATTTCACAAATAAGCATTTATCATACTAATAAGTTGGTAGGATTGTGTTTTTCATGAGTAGACCAGATACTTCAATTTTTGACACAATATTAGGTTAAATATTTTTTAGTACAAATACATGTTATGTTGATTAAAATATACTTATTTATTTATATCCAAAATATTCACTTTTATCTGCTTTGAATGAGATCGTTTCAGAGTTTGTTAAAATCTAATAGGTCACTTGGACCAGTGATACAAAAAATATCCCTGTTTATGTAATGTCTAAAACATCTAAAAGTTTATATTCTGTAATATTGACTTATTTTGTATACTGGGTTAGCATTTCATTATCACTTCAAACTTCTGAATATTTCTAAAGTATAGAACTTGACTGTTATACGGTGAGAAATATAAAATATAGCAAGTTAATCACACTATTTTCATTTTTCTGTATCATAATTTATGACTAGAAAATCGCTTAATTTTACATGAATTTGAATAAATCCAATATTAATTTTAATGATATATCAATACTTGATTGTTTTGTTTCAAGTCATAAATCCTTCTTCCTTTTTCAGTGATCGTTTTGTTTCTTTCTTCAATATCCTTTCTTAGTGCTCCCTTTTAACTTCAAAGTGATTAAATTTTATAAAAGTAACTTCATATGGTACAAAGGATTTTTCTACTATATATATATAGATAAGCATATAAATATACATATTACTCAAAAAATTTAGCTCCTTATATTTCATTTCATATGATTCAGCTAATGAATAGAATGATTTATTATGCCATAACCTCATAAATCATAAAATTTCAACCATATAGAGTAATTTTGGCTTTGAATGAAAATATGCAGCATCATCAATATATAAATAAAAAAATAAGTTGAAATAATTTGGCAAAGCTTTAAACAAACTAATTACCCTATCTTTATGTCTAGAGAAGTTTGCATAATATTAGTGGAATACTCATGATTATGAAATACTCATTTGTTACTTAGTGTAAAAATCTGCTATGTATTTTTTTTGGAAGAAACACTACCTAGCTTTAATTTCTTCTAATTCTCAGTTTGGTTAAATTTGTGTTGTATGTGTACTTCTTCAAAATCAAGATAAGCTTGTTCTTTCACTTTTTTTAATTGTTGATAGGCTTCCTTTTCTCCATAAAGTTTATTTTCATAAGCTTCAACGAGGTCCTACATTAGAAAGAACTGGACACATTTTTTCCTCACATATAAAAGAATGTTATGTAATCAAATGTATGTTTTGTATACCGGAGTTCATGTCATTAAGAATAGATCCAGTTCAACAAGTGTCCATGATACAACTCGATTTGCAATATTGTTTTTGTTGCTGTTTTAATTTACTATTTATTATTCATTGTTGTTGTTGTTGTTGTTTTTTTTTTTTTTTTTTTTTTTTTTTTGTGTTATTATTTATTTATTTTGTTTCTTACTAAAAATTTCATTTTAAAAAATAAAATAAAACAATATATATATATATATATATATATATATATATGTGTATACACACATATGATTTGTTTTTTTTCATTTGTATGATTGGCAACTGTTATTTCATCTAAGAGTATTTTTTCTTGTTCCAATGTCTTATGTCTTTCTCTGTAAATATGTAAATATTACAAATACTAATTTCAGAAATTTTTATTTAATAGG